AGGTTGTTGTTGTTAAGTGTCGTTGAGTCAGTTCCAATTCATAGTAATCCTGTATAGGGTTTCTGAGTAGTGGCTGGTGGGTTTGAACCGCCGGCCTTGGAGTTAGTCATTCAGTGCTTACACTGCAGGACCACACAAGGCTACAGCAGACTAAAAAGACATGGGGGAAAGGTCACTGGTTGAAGCTCAAGGTTGTGAGTGTGCCTTCGTGTCTATGTAAAGTTGGGTGAGGTATGGGGACCTGGGTGACAGTCTTCAGCACACAGGAAAATTTAGCTGAGTAGAGGCAAAAGGGTTGGTGGAAATTGCAGTTTTTTCCCTGGACTCTGCCCATGTCTGACCAACACTCTGCCAAAGGCTTCCTTGCTAAAATTTTTTCTTCCAAAGGAAATAAGAAAAAACCCAAAAACCCAAACCTCATTACTTTCACATTTCAGGCAAGGTCAAGAGGCAATGAAAGGGAACAGGGTTTAAAGCAACAAAAAGTTTGACGAGAACTTCAGCAGCATGTTCCAACATTCAACCTCCCTTCTCCCCAACCCTGTGGAGAGGCCATGACCCTAGTGAGGAGGAAAACCAACGGAATTCTTGAGAAGGCAGAACACATATTGGATATCTCCTGACCAAGAATCATGTCTGGGCACAGATGAGAGGAAAGTTTTGTTTGTACAGCCTCAGTCCTCCCAGAACTTGGAACACATGTGCCAACTTGTATAATGGAAGTCTTTTCTCCAGGTCCAGCTCTGGCCTCTGTCTGACCTCTTCTTTCTCCAGCGGACCGTAACTGGCCACATACTCAGGCTCCCATGCAGCCCTTCTTCTGGCTTTCTGTAAGCGCTAAGGGTAAAGACACTTGCTTCTCACACTGCCTCTCTACCATGTGGGTGCCACTGTTCTCGCCACCCCACATGCCTGCCCTGGCTTTGTTGACCCAATTCTGGTGTTTACTGAGTTTGCTCCGCCAATGCCCCACGAGGCTCTGTCAATCTCAAATGGGCTAACAGCACCTCTGTTCCCTTCCGCAACTGACGCCGCCTGGACTAGGCCCCAGAAAAACAAATTGCAGGTCTCTGGCTTTTTTTTTTTTGGCACTTGTCTTAGACTTTTGTTTTAACAAGGGGTGGAAGGGAGAAATTGAACCCTGTAGTTATCTATATTTTAAAACATTCAAACAGTCTGTCCACCTGCTTGGCACTTCGTGTTCTTTAGTAAGTCCCTTAACCCCACCCCTTTTAAAATAGCAACAAGGATTCTGAGCCCTCCTTTGCTACTAGTAGCTGATATAGATGGTAGGTTGGTAGGGACACCTTGAGCCCTGTCCCCTTCTGCCCTTGACTGCTCCCGTAATTCCAACTAGCCAGACCTCAGTTCTCACATAAGAAAAAGGCTCGTGCAAGGGAGAAGTCCTGTTTGTAGAAACCACTTCTGACAGTCTGACAGGATTGCATTCAGAGGGAGAGACTCTCTAGCCAGGAGTCTAATTTCCTTTCCACCTCACACAATAGTACTTCTAGTTATTTTCTTACCATTATCACTGATGTGGGGGTGGGGGGATAGAAAAGTCAGAAAGGAAAAGGGGGCAATGGGCAGGAGTGATAGTGGGAGTACGGACATGGTTTGATCAATCAGCCCAAAGTTTATTTCCAAGTAGAGGGAGGGACAGGAGCTTGGAACAGTCCGGAAAAATTAGTCCACAGTTTCTTCTCTCAACATGTGGCTGTGAGAACCACTGCAGTGCTGATCACCCGCAGCCTCTCTGCCCAAGGACTCCTCTATCCCTCCCATTCGTCATGAGGATAACCTGAAGCCAGAGTCTACCATCCTACACTGTTCTGTCTGAGGGCCAAGGAAACCAATGCACAGAGTATAGCGCTGTTATTGTTAAGTGCCGTCGAGTCGATTCCGACCCATAGTGCCCCTGTATAGGGTTTCCAGCTGGTGAGCAAGAACCATTGAACTTGCAGTTCAAACAACTTTGCAGTCTTGACGCATTAGCCCACAGCGCCACACCAGGTATTGTTGTTGAGTGCCGTCGAGTCGGTTCCTACCTATAGTGACCCTGTATAGGGTTTCTGAGGAGCAGCTGGTGAGCTTGAACCGCCAACCTTGCAGCTCAAACGGCTTTGCAGTCTGGCTCATTAACCCACAGCACCACACCAGGATGCAACACCAGGTATTAGTGAACTCTTAATCCTGGGTTATTCCCTAAAGACTACAAGGGAAAGTCAGATAGTATTGCTACAAAACCATAGAAACCTTTATTAAACAAAAAGATCAAAATGTGAAGCTTTTGTTTCTTTACATACCTTCCATGAGGGACTATATGTTTCTGAAGACAGTGTTCCCAGCTCTCTAGGCCTTCCCTAAAGAATTCTATGCTCTTAGATTTGGATCACATCAGACTGATAGTTTTGGAATATTCAAGGGACTCAAGTCCTGTTTTATAAAATGTTCCTTGAATTTGGGGAACAACAAAAAAAAAAGTATGAAGGAGCAAAATCAACTATAAGTGTCCCAATGCAATTCTGGTAGGACAGCCCTTGCTACCATCAAAGAATGAGCAGGTTCACTGTCAAGATGGAAACAATTGCTCAGTACAACTTTATTACCTTTCTCTCACAAATGCAGTTTTCAATTTTCTTAAAACTTCTTTACCAACCCATCATGCTGGGAGTCTTCCTCATTTCCCCTAACCTTCCACCTTACCAAACATGATATCCTTCTCCAGCGACTGGTCCCTCCTGAAATATGTCCAAAGTATGAGAGACAAAGTTTGGCCATGTGGCCTCCAAGGAGCACTCTGGCTGCACTTCTTCCAACACAGATCTGTTGGTTCTTTTGACAGCCCATGGCACTTTCAATATCTTCCTCCAACACTATAACTCAAATGCATCAATTCTTGTATGGTCTTCCTGATTCACTGTCCAGCTTTCGCATGCATACAAGGTTATTGAAGATACCATAGCTTGGGTCAGGCACTTTAGTCCTCAAGCTGACGTCTTTGCTCTTCAACACTTTAAAAAGGTCTTGTGCAGCAGATTTGTCATTTGATTTCTTGACTGCTGCTTCCATGAGTGTTGATAGTTGATCCAAGAAGAATGAAGTCCTTGAAAACTTCAATCTTTTCTCTGTTGATAATTGGTCTAGTGGTAAGGATTTTTTGTTTTCTTGACATTGAGATGTAATCCATACCGAAGGCTGTGCTCTTTGATCTTTATCAGTAAATATTTTAAGTCCTCTTCATTTTCAGCAAGCAAGGTTGTATCATCTGCATATCACAGGTTGTTAATGCATCTTCCTCCAATCCTGATGCCACGTTTTTCTTCATATAACCCAGCTTCTCGGATTATTTGCTCAGCGTACCCCTGTTGCACACCTATCTTAATTTTAAACCATTCAGTGTTCCCATGTTCTGTTCGAACAACTGCCTCTTGGTCCAGGCACAGATTCCTCATGAGCACAATTAAGTATTCAGGAATACTCATACTTTGCAATGTTGTCCATAGTTTGTCATGATCCTTTGCAATTGAAAGCCTTTGCATAGTCAATAAAGCACAGGTAAACATCTTTCTGGTATCCTCTGCTTTCAGCCAAGATCCATTGGATATCAGCAATGATATCCCTCATTCCATGGCCTCTTCTGAATCTGGCTTGAACCACTGGAAGTTCTCTGTAAATGAATGTTTGCAGCCATTTCTGTATTACCTTTAGTAAAACTTTACTAGCATGGGATAGCAAAGAGATTGTCTGATGATTTCCACATTCTGTTGGGTCACGTCTCTTTGGAATGGGCACAAATACGGATCTCTTCCAATCAGTTGGCCAGATAGTTGTCTTCCACATTTCTTGGCATAGATGAGTGAGTGCCTCCAATGCTGCCTCACTTTTTGGAAAGATTTCCATTTTTATTCCATCAATTCCTGGTGCCTTGTTCTTTGTCAATTCCTTTAATGCATGTTGGACTTCTTTTTTCAGTATCACTGGCTCTTGGTCATATTTTACCTCTTGAAACTGTTGAACATCAACCATTTCCTTTTGGTACAGTGACTCTGTGCATTCCTTTCATCTTCTTTTGATGTTTTCTGCATCATTCAATAATTTGCCCAGAGAATCCTTCAATAACGAAAGTCGAGGCTTGAATTTTTTCTTCAGTTCCCCCAGCTTGAGAAATGCTTGAGCGTGTTTTTCCTTTTTGGTTTTCTGACTCCAAATCCTGGCCTCATCCAAACCAGTGGCAAGACAATGCATTTAGCAGGCAATAATTAGGTGGAGTCCTGGTACGGCACTGTAGGATTGCTAACCACAAGGTTTGTGGTTCAAACACACCAGCTGCTCCTCAGAAACCCTGTACAGGGTCGATATGAGTCAGAACCGACTCAACAGCACTTAACAACAAAAAGTTTGTTTTTTTCTCCAGATGCTGGAGAAAACACCAAAGGGGCTGAAGCTTGAGACTTCCTTTCCCAGGTCCATTGGTAGAAACCTAGGTCAAGATTATCCTTTTGAGAGGGATTCTCAAAAACAGAAACAGCTCCTTGATGCTCTGCTGAGAATTCTAGAAGCCTCTGTGGTTCTTAAAGAAAATGGCTATCCACAGAGCCCAGTTCTGTGTTCATAGTAGCTGGACTATGGCCACCTCTCTTTGCAGAAAGGGCAAGCCTAAACTTCTGAGCCAGCTGCCCAAGTAGGGACCCAAGGACTCATAGGGTTGTCACTGCTCAGCATAGGGGAATCCAAGCAAGACCTACTGTGGCCATCCTGGTGACCCTGGCCTTTTCTGAAGACTAAGACCACACCCTCTTAAACTTCAACCCATAGTGTCCAAAGAGCACCAGAGGTCTCTGCAAAGGAAGAGCTTCTGGGGCCTGTAAACAGATTTCCTGGCTAATATCACCTCAAGAAAATCAGAGAAGTACTGACAAGCCCACAGTTTCCCAACAAGCAGAGCGAGGAACTGGGGGCTCTGGAAGACCAAGAAGGCAGAGGGGGCGAGCACTTACACCAGAGTTCATAGTAGTAGTTGCAGCACTGAGACTGTCCACAGCAGTGTCCCGTGTCACAGGTGTAGCTTTGATTGTTGGTACCCACACAGGTTTCCTTATCCTTAAAAAAAAAGAAGAAAAGCATTTAGCATATAAAATTATAGGTAAATTATTTAGTAAAATAAATGATTGTTTGTAGCATCACTTTTTTTCATCCTTTCACATCTAGTCACCTGCACATTCCCTTCCCAAACAATATGTGGTAGTGGTGGTTGTGTGTTGTTGAGAGTCAGTTGTAACAGCAACCCTGTATAGGATTTCCGAGGCTGCAACTCTTTACGTGAGCAGAAAGCCTCATCTTTCTTCTGTGGAGCGTCTGATGGACTTGAACTGCTGACATCGTGGCTAGCAGTCCAACGTGTAGCCCACTACACCACCAGAGCTCCTTAAATGATTTGTATCCATGTTAATTCCATTAAGAAAAATAAAAATGAAAAAAAGAACCACACAACAACAGCAGATCAAATTTTTTAAAGTCTGGTTTATTAAAGGCAGAGGACCTGGCACACAAAGTCAATAGGTAACAGTCATGTTCTCAGACAGGAAAGGGCTGCCTTACTTTCTTTATATACAAGCAAAAATACTTAATGTTCCGGTATTAAACTTACACGGTAATAAGGTGATAATTCTCCTTGTAATTAGCAGTATGTTTCAAATAAAACCAGCTTCCTGGAATAATTACTGCCGTTCATATTCTAGGATTAGCATCCAGTTGGGTCATTCCGCCGCCCTCCCTTCAAAACACATGATCCTCAAGGCTTACTACACTCTCAAAGGGGTAACCTGATCAGGTGACCTCGTCCTATTCCCATTTTCTAGGACATCTTTAGCTCATGGAGTGGTCTCTCCACAATCTTACTTGGATCCAGGGTTCAAGTTCACCCTGGTCTGGGACAGCTACATAAAGGGTCGTGCTCAGTAACCATCGAGTGGCTACCAAATTCTATCTACAGCACTGGAGGATGGAGGTAGATGGAAAACAAATTTCTCTTTCACATCTGAAGGTATGAAATACCCCACCAGCCAATCTTAACTACAGCCCACCATGTACTCTTGACCATTATGGACATAATGAAAAATGTCTGGATTTTGGCATTTCTCTCTGTTCATTTACTGGACACTGCCTTTGTGTCAGGCACTGGGTTGAGCACAAGAGAAAACAAGGATGAATAAGACAGTGTCTCCAATCCTCAAGAAAGCTCAGAGTCAAGAAGGAAATAAACCAGGTCAGCAAAGAAACTAAAATCACAGAATTGCTGACCCTGCCCATAGTGTACATCCGGGAGGAAAGCTGCCAGTGGAAACTTAAGTCACGTGGTCGGGTCTGTCCTCACTGGGCCTTGCTTTACTCCACTGTCTACTTGGCCAAGGGTATAAACAAAGTGACTGTCTACAGGGCTAGGGCTGGACAGCAAGCACAGGCACCTGAAGCCACAGGGAGAGACTGAGAGAGAAAGTGCTGGGCTAAACACCCTGGCTCAATCCAAGTTTCCACCGCAGCTCAAGTGTTTCCTGGTGTAAGTCTTGAACACCTTGGTATAAAGGAGTTTAGAATAAGGAATCATGGGTGAAGCATTTGTAAACTCTCACAAAGAGGATTTCACAATACTGCAAATAGAGCTTTCCCTCTCTTTGTCTTCCTGTGCCTACCATAAACAAAGCAAAGTAGAGTGCTATCCTGGTAGCTGTCTGGTCAGAGGTCTCCTCTGAGGTCTGGTGTATACGTGAAAAGTACATTTGGGCTTGCAGCTTTTGCTAGAACACATACTCTGATTTCAGAGCAAAACACTACTTTTATGAGGACATCAAAAAGTTTCTCCCATGTTTGCATGCCCCACAAATGCCATTCTTCTGGCACCAGCTCACCAGAGCACAGTTAAAAGTATCCACATAGTTTCTATAAGAGGCTGTGCAGCCTACACCCTACGTGAAAGACTCCAGTGACACTTCTGCCTCGGGAAAATCCTACCAGATGAGGTCCAAGCTGTAAACACAGGGTGGCAACTGTTCCTAAGTGAGGCGTGGAATGGAACGCATTTCAAATCCAAACAAGTGGCATCCTCATGACCTACTAGTGTCAGCTTTTTTCTCAGAGCTTCCATTCCCTGAGGTCAGAGACATGGTATAAACAGGACCCCACTTTCCTTCCCAGTCTGCCTTCCCGTTTCCAGGCAGAGCACAGCTACCACGACTTGCTGTGTAAATTAATCCAGTGTTCCTCAAGCATCTTTTAATTTCGCAGTACCTAGTCTTGTTCTCCTATCCCTCTTTGACCCAGGTACAGATCCTGGGATGGTCTTGATTATGGGGACCATCATTTTCTGCTGCAGGAGAAAGGAAAGAAGGAGGATGGCTACGGAAGACAAGAAGTGGGCTCAAGGGCCTTCAGTGAGATGTATGGGTCAAGATAAACTTCTCCAGAGAGCTGGTGGATATGAGGAGAACACCAAGATTAGGTTTGGTCCCAACTCTGCCACTATGGAGGAACAGGACCTCGGGCAAGTTACTCAATGGCCCTGGGTCTCCTTCATGTATAAAAGTTCAGATGACCTCTAGTGTCTCCTTCAACACTCAGGCTACATTATCTCATCTCCCACTCCCTCTAACACTGCAGCCTCAACCTAATGCGAGAGCTCCTGAATCTCTGTCTCCTCTAAGTCAAACCAGCAGCACAGAAGAGTGGTGTGGAAATCCTGCTCAGTGCCAATTCCATCCTTGCTTAGATGAGGAGCCTGATCATGGATAACCCAAAAGACTCTTAAAAGCCTCCTTGGGCCTCAAGATTCACAAGGCAGAAGAGGGTTAAGATATGCCAGACCTGGGTTGAAAGCCTAGCTCTTATGTAAATTAACTGTGTGACCTTGGGTAAGTCACTTCTCTGAATTGTTAACGTCACTATTATTCTGTGAGCCATTATTTCTGGGCATGACATACCTGCCTTTTATTATTGTTGTTAAGTGCTTAAAGTCGGTTCTGATTCATAGGGACCCTATATAGAGTTTCCAAGGAGTGGCTGGTGGGTTTAAACTGCCAACCTTGAGGCTAGCAGTCCAATGCTTCTTGTACAGTGCCACACCAGGGCTCCTTACCTTTAATTAGAGCTACTGTATTTCAGAACAGTCAAGCTGACTTGTGCCAACGTGGACAAGAATGTGGTCAATATGAACAAAGAATAGGAAAAACTACTGAACAGAATGCAATGGAAAGTTCAAACATGACAACTTCTCAGCACTTATGAATATTTGCTCTTCTTCTAAACATCTTCAAACACTACATATATGTTGTTCAGGCCAAGCCCTGAAGAAATCCAAAAGCCAAACCAAATCCACTGCCATCAAGTAGACTCCAATTCAAGTTACCCTATATGAGGTTTCCAAGGTTGCAAGTCCTTTAGGGAGCAGGAAACCTCATCTTCCTCCCAAAGCCCTGAAGTTGTTTGTTATTATTGCTATGTGCCGTGGAGTCGGTTCCGACTCATAGTGACCCTGTACAGGATTTCCGAAGCTGTAAATCTTTACGGGAGCAGAAAGGCTCATCTTTCTCCCATGGAACAGCTAGTGTTTCAAACTGCTCTGAAGAATAGGGAGTAAATAGCATTCTACCCATCCCACCATCTACAGAGAATGAACTGTTGTCTCCTTATGGGGAGAAGCTGTATCTTCTGATTTCCCTGGGCTAGCGTGAGCACAGTGCTTAGTGAAACAATAGCTAAGGAACCTCCAGGAAGGCAGGGAGAGGTGAGCAATAGCTACTGTGTACTGAGCACTTGCTATGTGCCCTGGTGGCTGAGGGTTAAGTGCTTAGCTTCTAACTGTAAGGTTGGTAGTTCAAGTCCATCCAGCAGTTCTGCAGGAGAAAGATCTAGCAATCTGTTTCTGTAAAGATTATAGCCAAGAAATGTTTATCTCAGAGTGCTTGAGCGGAACCCAGAGCTTGCCAGCCTCCCTGCAAACCACCCTCCACCACCTCCTGCCCTTGGATGCCCCATGGCCCCCCTGCCACTCCAGCACCATGTCACCGTTGCCTCTCCTCCACCAATGCTATGACAACATGTCCCCTCGCAGGTGCATCAGAACTACAACCTGGGCTCAGAGGCTGCCACCAACTGCCAGATCAACCTGGACTCTACACCACCTACATCTACCTGTTCATGTCTTACTACTTTGACTGAGATGATGTGACTTTGAAAATTTTTGCTGAACATTTTCTGCACCAATCTCAAGAGGAGAGGGAACATGTTGAGAAACAGATGAAGTTGCAGAACCAATGGGGACATCAAGAAACCAGACCAGGATGACTGCGATAGCCGGCTGAATACAATGGAGCATGCTTTGCACTTTACAAAATAAATGTGAAATCAGTCACTAATGGAACTGTACAAACTGGCCACTGACAAGAATGACCCTATTTATTTGACTCACTGAGACACATTACCTGAATGAGCAGTGAAATCTATCCAAGAATCAGGTGGCTACATAACCTAATTGCACAAGATGAGGGCCCAGGTTCTGGGCTGACAGAGTATCTCTTTGACAAGCTCACCATGGGAGACAGTTGAGCTTGAGACTGGCTTCCCCATGGCCACAAGTGTGACTTCCTGGGTCACTGAGGCAGCACATGAATACTGGGTTTACCTTTACCTTTTCCACAAAACGTACCAAAACATCCACTTAAGTCTTTCATTTGTACCGTTCCTTCAGATAAAGTCATTTAATACCTCTCTCTCCACCCAAAAAGAAGCCAAGAAATCCCTGGGGAGCAGTTCTACCCTATTACAAAGGTTCACTATAAATCAAAAATAGACTCAGTAGCACCTAACAATATGGAGCACTTGTTATGTGCCAAGAAAAAAAAAAGCACTATTGTCACTTTTCAATTCACAGTGACCCCAATGATGTTGCTAAGTGCCGAGGAGGCAGTTCCAACTTATAGCGACCTTCCTGGTCAAAGGAATACGTCTTCAGCTGCTCCAATGAATCACCAGAAAACTCAAACAAAATCAACGATTCACTTTTGAGGGAAAAGATAAAGAGCTAGCCTACATGGAGCTCTTAAGACTTT